GACCACACCAACTACTGGCAAGGAAATGCAGCGCTGCAAAGTTGGTTGTTGTTATTTGAGAAAACAAGTTTGTGTGGATCCTAAATGCTTTGTGAAACTCAAGTTCAAATACTGTCTCTATGAAAGAATGAACTCATCCATTACAAAAGGTAACCATATAATCAATAAACAAAACTAATAATAAAAGAATGACACCAGCGTCTATAAAGACAGAGCTAAAGGTATCAGAGAAATTCCAAGTTTTGGCTAATCTCTCATTGCTATTGTCTATGAATCTCATGGGACTCTGCAGTCATGCTCTGGGTATGGGATTCTATAGCATTACCTATATAGAAGCTGAGCTTTTTTGTTTTCCCAATTATGGCTCAAATGATGATGAGGAAAGGAACTGAACCTACATACTTTGGAACAAACTTTGTAATACTTAAAATTGAAAACCAAAAAAAGCAAACCAGGGCTTCTAAAATTTTGGGTATCTCTAAAACTTGTACATTCCATTTGGTATCAAAACATATGTACCCTAAAATATTAGTTATTGGGGGGTAAATGTATACTTTTCAGCTTAAAGCACAGATTTACTGGATTTAGAAAGATAAATTTAAAACCTTATGGGTTTAAACTATAACCTTTAGAGGAGTTACTTTCTACTTTTACGCTAATGCTTTAAGTAGTTGCTTCTCTGGTGCCAGCCGGCGCAGCTCTTGGACTCACAGGGAACACTGCACTGTGTGCCTCCTGCAACCCAGGTGTGTTCTCGAACATCTGTCTCCATTAGAGGAAGTAATCTTTGATGAGCAACGTATTCATTGCTTGAGAGAGAGTGACCTAAACTGAGTTTAGGTTACCTTAATTATTATCACAAAGAAAGAGTGCCCTCATCAGTTTGTGGGGGGAGGCTACAGGATAAGGGGTAACTTATGAAAGGCTGCCTGTCCCAAATAGGAACCATCTGGGTAGAAGGTAGAAATGACTACACACCTATCATAGAGACAGCACATGGAAAAGACTGACCACCACAAATGCTGGTAAGATGTGGAGCAACGGGAACTCTCGTACGTTGTGGACAGGAACTTAAATGATACAGTCCTGGGGAAAAAGATCTGACAGCTTCTTATTAAACTAAACATACACCTATCCTTCCACCCCAAACCCAGTGCCATTGCGTTGACTCCAACTCAGTGATCCTAACAACTTAGCTATTTATCCAAGGAAATAACAGACAGAGGCTTACGACGAGACTTGAACAACAATGTCATACATAGCAGCTTTATTCGTAACAGTAAAAAGTACAGCCCAGTGTCCACCAACAAAGGAGAAAAACTGATATACAATATTCAGTAGCAAGGAATGGAATACTGCTACATGCAATAGGAATAAATCTCAAAAGCACATGCTGAGTGAAAGGAGCATTAGGTTTTGTATAATTTAATTTATATAAAAATTTAAAATATGCAAAAGAAAAACAACAACAGTAGTGATTTCATCTGTAAGACAAAGTTTCTCTAGAACACAAGGACCAGAAACTGGCCCAAGTCTTCCCTGGGATTCTAAATGGTAGACGACATGTGTACATATGATAAGAAATTATAAAAGTTATTCTTGAGGAGGAAGATGAGTTTTATTAAGAGCAATCTATAAATACTGCAGTGTTTTTTTTTTACCATCACAACAGGATGAGAGTACAGTTTTTGGTACCATTTTTACACCACTTCTAACCTTGAATGAAGAGTTATCGTTTCTATCATGTTTTGAATAATCCAGCTGTGACTCAATCAGCATTGTCTAAAATTGAGACACTCCAGCATGGCTAAAAAAGTGCTTATTTTTCTATACACCCAACGCTATAATTGTAACTCTCTGGTGTAATGGTTGCTACATATTGGGCTGCGAGCCGCATGGCCGGCAGTTCAAAACCACCTGCAGCTAAGGAGAAAGACTGGAATTTTTACTCCCATAAAGTCTCGGAAACCCATAGGGGGTTGATATGAGTCAGCACTGACCCAATGGCAGCACATTTGGTTTCTGTAAATGTGCTACACATGGAATTCAATGATATATACTACTTCTTGTACGGTTTAGAGGAAATTTGGTACGTTTATATATAAGAAATCTGGATGTGCCATCCATCTCTGCACTGATAACTTGTGGGACTTCGGGCAAATAACTTCTGTAAGCTCCCACTTTCCCATTGTAAGGCCAGGTTGGAAAATAGAGGGTCACTACTTTTTTAGGGTTATTAAGAATATTAAATGAGATTATCCATTTTACACATATCACAGTCACTAGTAGGAAGAAATGCCTCAATAAATACAAGCTACTATTCACAAAGAGAAGGTGTCTGAGGCAGTGTGGAGTACCTTAATTTGTTTATATAGCACAATAGCATCTCCTCACTAGGTAGCTCAAATAGTAACCATAATAGGATTTAATTTCTTTGCCCCCAGAAATGAGAGGTCTTTGGAAGTCAAGGTGCAATGAACTTGTTACACTGAGGAGGTGATAATACATCATTGAAACCAGAGTGAAAGATAGAGATGTATTTATTATCTTCAAAACATCTGAACTTGTGGAGGTAAGTGACTCTGCTTTACTCAATCGTGCATTAAATATTCAGGAATGTTACTCATTTGTACTGTCACTAGCACCTGTTACAAAGGTGGGCCTAGAACAGGAGTCCTAAAACTATGGCCCGCAGGCCACATGCGGCCCACCAAGGACATTTATCCGGCTCGCCGGGTGTTTTTGCCGTTTTGTTTTTTTTAACTTCAAAATAAGATATGTGCAGTGTGTATAGGAATTTGTTCATAGTTTTTTCTAAAAGCTATAGTCTGGCCCTCCAACAGTCTGAGGGACAGTGAACTGGCCCCATGTTTAAAAAGTTTGAGGACCCCTGGCCTAGAATCTCTAAAACTGCCAGGTGTAAGGGAGGTGAGGGGTCAATGTAGGGCTGGAGGATATTAAGCACCACTTTCCTCCTTAACCCCAGGAGAATGAATGACGAACGAAACGGCTCACACCTGGCAGGTAGCAGAATAGACAGATGAAAGCCCATGTGGGAAGATGGGAAGCCCGTAGCCTTTGGGAAACAAGTTGTATTCTCTCCTGCCTTGTGTGGTATCGTGAAATCTCCCATATTCTTTGCTGTCTTCTGTGTCTTTTGGCATCATCTTCTGTCAACCAGCCTGCTTAACAATCAGTCTGCAACCCCACATAATGTTACAATTATGACACAAAATGTTATCAATTGGTGCATAGCTTCTCATTTGCTACGCTGCTCAATTTCCTATTATACTTTAACACAAGGCACAACTCCCATCTAGTTCATATGGCATTTGACTGACAATGGTGACCTACTGGGATTTTACTAGTGGTCAGTTCATATCTAGACTACAAGTAATCCGCTTCCTCTTCTCACCAAAAATGCAGCCAGAAAATCTTAGGTATTTCTCAAGTGTCTTTCTGAGTACAGGAGCCCCATGTTTACCATTTCATTAAAAAGAAGGCAATGGCTCGAGAGAGATAGAGACGCTCAGCAAACAGCTTTGAAACAATCTCGGGCAGAATCAAAGTCTAATGACCCCCTTCTCTGAGATCTTCTTGGAAGGGGGAGTAAGCATCCTGCTTTTACGTGGCCCGTGTCTGCTGTACAACGGACACAATATGGGTTTCTTTCCTTTCTCTGGCACTTTCGGGCTGTTCCCTCTTCCTGGACTTCTTTCCCTCAGGACATCCACTGGCTGGATGATTTGAAAGACATGTCGTCAGAAGGGCCGTCTTTCTCTGGACAAGGACAAGGAAATGTTGAGGATGGATTGTTGCAGTGGCTGCAACAATGAGCTCAAGGAGGACAATGGGAGGAGGGCACAGCAGCATGCAGTGCTCTGTTCTGTTCTACAGAGGGTCACTATGAGTCACACTGACTTCAGGGCTCCTAACAGCAGCAGCAGCAGCAGCAATAACTACTGAAAGTCTGGGGCGTTATCCAGTACACTGTAGCACTCAACTCCTTTGTAATCAGTTATTTTTCCTAAAATGTCTTGAAATCTTCAGATATCATTTTAAACAATACTTTTAAATATGCCTAAAATGAAGAGAAAAATTTCGAGTAGTAGATATAAATAACAAGAATATGATTTAATACATGTAGTTTTATCCATCTTGCTCACAATGTAATCATTCCTGCTCTCCCAGACACTTATTACACAGGATCACATTCAGCAAGATTAATTTTTATCTCATATATTTTCCTTTGTTTTAAAAGGCAGTAATTCTTCTTTTCTATTTTATAAAAGAGCTTTTGTTTTATTCCCTTTATTTATTTTTAAATTTGTGGGCCTTGCGACTAATTCTTTAATGTTTGGAATAGCTAACACCTCTCTTGTTAGTCTTGTTGATCATAAGCTTGAAGTTTATCTGTAAATTGTCAGAGGCAGAACTAGGCAGAAGTCACATCCTTCCAAACAAAGGATCAAGCCCAAACTGGAGGAAAAACAGAAAGATTTTAGTATAAATTATTCAAGGGAAAGTTCTGTATTTTAATTTTTTTAAAAGTGAATCAAATGATTGCTACTACTCTTTCTCTTCTATTTTTGTTATTCTTTTGATACTGAGTCAGAGAAACGTGGTAGACATGTTTGTTGCAAGCAACTGCATTTCTCAAATAGGAAGCACAAAACTTTTTTTTACTTAACATCCTGAAGTATGATTATCTGAACTCAAGGATCATTCTAATATCTATTCTAGCAAAGAAAATACTCATGGCCCAAGACTTTCTCTAATCAGCCAATTTTCAAGCTAGCAAGAAATGCTCGTGACATGAAAAAAAAAATTATAAATTACCAAGGGTTCATGAGGGAGGGAGAGTAGGGCAGGGGGGGAAACGAGGAGCTGATTATCAAGGGCTCAAGTAGAAAGAAAATGTTTTGAAAATGAAGATGGCAACATATGTACAAATGTGCTTGACACAATGGATGTATGTATGGATTGTGATAAAAGCTGTAAGTGCCCCAATAAAATGATTTATATATACATAAAAAAATGCTCTTGAGATTTTAGCTATTCTTCTCCAGGGAGTAGAATTTATTCAGTCTGGGGTATCTGAATCTTACAGTTTTAATGTGCTGTAAGACTCACCAAATAACCAGATAAGTGAAATGAGAATAACACCCTTAGATGTACTAAGAGCCAAGCAGGCCTCATACCAGAAAAAAATTTCACTTAAGGTTAGCTGGAATCCTTTACAATAGTCTTTAATGGACAGACAGCTATTCAATGGGAATGTCATTAAGAAAGGTAACTTGGGATAATCTTAAAGATAATCTTAACAAAGATAATTTGGGAAGTAGAGCCAACTCCTGAGATTCTTTACGAATATAAAACATATATACTACTATGGATTGCATTGTGTCCCTTCAAAATGTGTGATCCAAACCCTACACTCCTATACCTGAGATAGAATCCCACTTGGGAATATGACTTTCTTTGTTAATTAATGAGACCATGTCAGTGTAGACTATGTCTCAAGGTAATCACTTTTAGGATATAAAAAGAGTGGCTTAGGTACAGAGGAAGCAAAGTGAAGAGAGACAAGAGTCCTCCCCCAGAGCCCAGAGAGAAGGAAGACTTCTTTTCTTGTCCGCGGGTCAGTGGTCTGAATTTGGATGTCTAGATCCCCACACTGCGAGGAAATAAACTCTTTAGGAAAGCCACTCACTCGTGGTATTTCAGTATAGCAGGACTCAGAACACTAAAATGTATACATGCATAAATAAGGTTTTAACAAATAAAACAAAACATGTTGACACATTTTTGGCTCAAATGTATATGCTTTCACATTACAGATCTCATTTTTCATCCTTAAACGAAGCTCAGCATAGAGGACACAGGATTTCTTTATACATCTTTTAGGCTTACCTATCAAAATACCACGCCACCCTTTAAGACCCACCTTAAACACTTCCACATCAATGACCCTCTAACAATTAAAACTGACTTGCCTCTGTATTTCACATTTGTGTTACTACCTTGCTAGAGGCCCCAAAATGCTAAACTTCGTGGGACATCATTTTCTACATCAACCTTTACATAAAATGAAGCTGTCAACACTTTCCAGAGCAAGAGCTTAAAAAAGAACCAAGAGTCACCTAAAGTCAACACAAGACTGTTCTGGAAAATCTTGGAAGACTTGCCACACACATAATGAAAAAGGAAGATTAGGCAGAGCTGCGGAGGAGCCTGGCTATACGTTTCACAAGTTATATTTCAATACTTAAAAGTCGCTCCCTTTTTAACAACTTCTTCTGTGTTCCTGCTTTCTTCGCCTTCTTCCCCCGTGTCACATACCATCTGGTAAACATAGCAGCTGAAGACCCTGTTGGGTTTCTGTTCAATGTGCAGTACCAAGTCTCTGTCAAAGTAGACATCATGGCTATGTGTCTGTAAGGAAAAACAATCAAATGGAATTTCTTCATCACAAAATCAAAGTCACTACTGCCACTAACATGTCACGGCAACTATGCCGGGGCTCTGTGATGGAATGCAAATATACACTTAGAAGCAAGTTTTTTTTATGGATATGCAGATTATCTATGAGGCACCCATGGCACAAAATGGAGCAAATATAAAGAACCCTGGGTTCAGGCATCGGAACCAGGTTCTACAGTGAACACTTCTGTCTCATGCGACTTTGGGTAAGCTGCTAAACCGCGCAGGTTCTATAGATAAAACCAAACTCACTGCCATCAAGTCAATTCTGACTCAGGGTGATTGCCTAGACCCACCTCTATGAGTTTCTGAGATGGTAACTCTTTTTTTTTTAACATTTTATTAGGGGCTCATACAACTGTTATCCCGAGATGGTAACTCTTTAAGGGAGTAGAAAGCCTCATCTTTATCCCATGCGGTGGCTGGTGGTTTTGAACTGCAGGTCTTGTAGTTAGCATGCAATGCGTAACCAATTCACCACTAATGATTCTTGATAAAGCAACGAGTGGGTAAGATACTGGGAAAATATACAGTGTATACTGTTCTTGTAACCTTAATATTTTCTTCTTCTCAGAATAGGAAACAAAAACTTCTAAGAGGGCCTGGAACCCCTAATAAACTTAAATACGATCTTTATTCAATAAGTGGAGATTAATGGCAGTGTAATCTTTTATTTTTAAAAATGTTACTAAACTCATAAGATGGGAGAAATATAAGGTAAAGAATAAGATATTCATCATTAAGGAGGGAAAAAACAGCTTTGTCTTTCATAAAGTGCATTGATAATGAGGCATCCTATAGGGGAGCAAGTTCTAAGAAGGATCTACTTTGTCCTGTCCTGGTGATGTAGTGGTTACAAATTGGGCTAGTAACTGTAAGGTCAGCAGTTTGAAATTTCCAGCTACTCTGCAGGAAAAAAGATGAGGCTGGTTCTATTTCCCTAAAGAGTTAGTCTTAGAAACCCACAGGGACAGCTCTACCCTGTCCTATAGGGTTGCTATGCGTCAGAAACAACAGGCAGTGAGTTAGGGTTACAGAATAAGAGACTCGGTCCGAATCTGGGCTGACATAAACGCAGTAATGCTGACGGCAGTAAGTGTCACCGACAAAGGAAATGCTTTAAAACTTTGTACTAACCACATCCCATGACTCCACTAATGGAATGCTTTTAAGCAAAGTTCCGTATTCATTACAGTGAAAATCCAGGTGAGCTTTTCCTTCAGCATCTAGTTGTGTAACGGCTACCACAGAGAGTAAATCCAACTCATCTTCATAGTCCACAATTTTGAAAGTCTCAAGGGACAGGTAGATAAATCAAGATGAAAAAAGAGAGAGAAAATACAGTTATTCAGTTAGGACGACAACTACCTTTGCAGTTTATTCTATTACACAAATACGTGGAAGGAAGAATGAATGGGTGGGAGGAAAAACAGCAATGTCTCTAACTGGATGCCCAAGAAACATTTTTTGGGGTGAACGTGGGGCGGGGAGAGAAACCATTTTCAAGCACTAGCCTATGAAAATTTAGACAGAGCTATGAAAGACTCGAAGTAGAAATGCAATTCTCTACAATAACAGCGAACCAGAGCTTTTCCTATGTCCAAAGAGGTATTTAACTATTGATTCTGACATGTGTGGTTGGTCACCTATTCCCAGACAGGGCTAAGCAGATGAAGCTCATTTCCTAAGATCTGAAGATGCTCACAGACAAGCAGTCATTTCAAAAGTGACTTAAAGCCCATCATACCATATTTGTGATGCTGTTTGCTACCAGTTTAAACTCCTTTTTGGTTTAGCCTTCCCTAACAACTCCCCAACACACAGAGGAAAAGCAAAAAAAGGCTGCTGCTCTTACTTGAGAGAGAGGATTAGCAATGGAAGTTCAACTCACAGAATAAGACAGGGACAAAAGAGGTTAGTTAGGAGTGGCAAAGACTCTTAAATTCTTTTACATTTTCTGCCTTTATTGCCTCATGCCATAGGGGAAAAAAGTAATATCGTGACTCCTTTATATTTCCTCTTTTGCACTATAACTTACCTTCGCCAACTTCAAAGGGTGACTTCTTATTTTGAGCAGAGATTTAACAGATATTAGTTATAAACCCTTGAACTTTTCCCTTATAAGCTAAACATTTCTATTTCTTTTCATCTCTTGCTACACAGCATCTTTCACTTTGCTGCCACCCATCCAGCCGTAACTATTCTTGTTACTTTTGGTAATTTTTGCATGTTTTTCTGGAATTTAGCTTTACATACAAAGTCTTTTGCTTTGCCCTCAATTGGTTTCTATGGCCAAAAAGAGAACAAACATGGATTTTATTTTTTGATAGCAGTCAGATACTAGGCAGGTCACCTTGGACCTATTTTAAAATTTTTTCAAAGAAAAATACCACATGAATCGACAATTCTTAAAAGAGTATTCCAGCATTTCTATATCCATCCACTCTGACTCACAGTGACTGCCCCTTTATAGGAATGGCTGTTTTAATGTACACAAAATAGTTATATAGTCTAAATAGACTTAGTCTTTGTGCTAGTGTTTTATTTTAGGCACGATCAATGTTGGCTGATTTATAAATACTTCTCATGCCTCTTCAGAGGAAAAGAATACCTAGGTATAAGATCAGTAACTAATAATGCCAAGTTGAAGCCGGAGGGCAAATTAATTTTCCACACCCTGTCATTTCCTCCTTTCTTGACCTATAAACATTTATACACATATCCGTCTCATTAAAAAGAAAAAAGAGGCTAAAGTCATAAAGTCAGGATATAACTACTCATGGATTCTCTACCAAGAGATTTCACAGTGTGCATTAATGAAACAATTAAAAATGTGATAGTTTTTTCAAATAATTTCAGTCCTATAAGCCTTTCTGCAAAGACACTTTTATGGGTAATTTCACTGCGAAAAGAAAGGGTGGTGGAACTGCACTAGATGAAAGCACCCAGAGCCTCACCCACTCAGTCTGCACTCAAACAGTTGCTCACCCCCTCCCTACTTCAGAGTCTGGAAGTCCGACGCGGAAAACCACAGTGCAAACACACACTGGTTCTGTTTGTTATTTCTGGTTCAACTGATACCTCTTGTTCTGGGTCATCATCCAGACGGTTCAGGAGCTTTTTGACTACCCGGCCAGAAGCTGTCACAGTGATTAAGTTGTCATCCTATCATACGGAGAAAAAAGAAATACATATGACAAAGTTAAATTATATAGTCAGTGGCAGAGTTCACAAAAACCAAGTTGGTAAAACAACACAAATCCACAACTCTCTCCTCAATTGAGAAAATCTGGAATCAGATCCCTGATCCTCCAAGCTAGTAAAGGGAACCCTGCTGGTGTAGTAGTTATGCATTGTGCTGCCAACCACAAGGTCAGCAGTTTGAAGCACTAACCACTCCTTGGGAGAAAGATGGGACTTTCTACAGGGCAGTTCTACCCTGATCTCCTACAGGGTGGGCGTGAGTCAACATCGACTTCATGGCAGGGAGCTTGGTTTGGGTTTTTAAGCTAGTAAACATGCCTTCGCACAGAGCAAGGAAGCAATGGGCATGAGCGGGATTTCCCTCGGCACCATTTTCTTCATGCTTTTAATTTGTGCATGAAAGAATAAGTACATCCTGGAGTCAAAGTCTGACACGTGGTTTAAAGATGCATATACACCCTTACTAAGTTTAAGCAACTAATTAGACGCAAATGTTGAGAATTCATTAAAAAAAAATCAGGGAGAAACCCAGGAAGGGAATAAAAGCAAGTAAAAGATAAATTCAATATAACCAAATCTTTTCAAATCTCATATGTACATGGAATAAGAGACTGGCTATCCATATAGATGGAGCCCTGGTGGTTTAGATGCTTTGTGCTGCTGATCACCAGGACAGCAGTTTGAAACCACTAGCTTTCTACTCCTGTAAAGAGTTCCAGTCTCCAAAACTCACAGGGGGAGTTCTACTCTGTCCTGTGGGGTCACTACGAGGTGGCATTGACTCGATGGCAGTGAGTTTGGTTTTACTATGTAGACAAAATGCAGATGTCTATGCGGTTCTGATATTCTTTTCAGTCACACTCCAAGGCAAACACAACTGTACATTATATTTTTATTTAAAATGATAATGATCACAAAAGATTTAAACATATTCCTGACTTACTCGGTTCTCCCTGTTGGCCAAAATGACAAAATCTTCCGAGATCTGATGTTGGAAACTATTATTTTCTATTTCAGTTAGCTTTAAAACCCTGAAAAGGGAAAAAAAGTATTCTAAGAACCTAAGACTTCAATCTCCAGAAGTGTCAAAGTCAGCCAATAAAAGTTATAGTAACACGTAGATAGCTTTTCCTCCTGATTCCTCTGCAGTATTAACTGATCTGATCACATAAATGCCCACAAACTCCTTCAAATTTAGAAACTTTTTTTAAAGGGAAATCTTGGAACAGTTACAAGAAGTACTATTAAAATAGGTAATGAAGCAGCTTGCTCAAAGTTAAGTCAAAATTCAAATTGGCTGAACAAAAGTTACGCTGAAGAACCTTTCCTGCCGTTCTGCAACAGGTCTCCATGCTTCCCCCACTGATGGCAATGTAGTAGGGAGCTGTCACTGGAATTTCTGAGGACTGAAATGCCGTAGCTGTGAATAATATTTAAAGTTCAGTAGCAGACAGACTGGATCAGCAACTTACCGTACACTGAGAGTTTGCATGGTAGCATAATATTTAAACCACAACCGATTTAAGATTCCCCTCCTTAGGATGTTTAAAGATTTGGGTTTTCTGAGTGGATATAGCCTCTGAAGATCAGGCTTACTAATCAAGGGAAAGTAAAGTAACTTATTTACCACCCACACAAATCTGTTCTCATCAGTAACAAGCTTCAAAAGTACAAAGCTCAAAGTCAGAAAGAGAGGACCTGGGGTAAAGTGGCTCCTGTGGGAAACCAGAGAGTCAGCAGTGCTGGAGACATGAAGTTGGAATATATGGCATTTTAAATACCTCAACTAGTTACTTCAACTAGCAACAGTGTAAAAACAGACCTAACGACTAAGGCCTGGCAAAAGGGTATGCTGAATCCACTCAGCATATTGTCACTTCCTTAAACTCGGGCTACTCTTGTACTGTCACTTCCTTAAACTCAGGCTACTCTTACAGACTAAAGCTAAACCCAACATCATTTTTTTTTAAGTTATAATCTTATTTCATTAAATTCGTTCATCTGCCTTTAACAGAAGTGGAGTGACAGACTAACTATCCTGAAGCACTAAGGACTAAAGTCAACAGAGATAGCTCTTCTTATGCCACAAATATTTACTGCACACCACTGTGTGTGAAGCACTGTGCTCACTCAGTGCTGGGCTTCTGGGTGTCAGCAAGACAGCCTCCTTCCCAGCCATGATGCGTAGTTAGACAATGAAACAGTCACATAAATAACCCATTAATTAAAATAGTGGCAGGTGCTTCAGAGAAAGAATGCTCAGGGTGCAATGGATGGTGGATAGAGGAGCTATTCTAACCAGGGTAATCAGTAGTAAAGTTAGGGCATAAAACACAAATAGGAATTAGGCAGAACAGGTGAGGGCAACTGACCCCCAAAAGAGGAAGGAGCCTTCTGAAAATACAGCAGGAGTGAAAGGAGGGTCTTTCAGATCATATGCTAAGTATGCTAGTCTTTATTTTAACAGAAATGAAAACCCATGAAGAGGTTAGTTGATGTAGGATTCAGTTGATGAGGTTTTGGTATCTGTTTATGTTTTTCAGCATCAATCTGGCTGTTGAGTGGAAAACCCACTTTGAAAGGGCACGAGTAGATTCTGGGAGCCCGTTGGTAGAACATTACTGCAGTCCAGGCTACTAATGGCAGTAGTCTGATCAACATGATAAAAGTGGACAAGGCAGAGATATAGCAAAATAAACTGACTTGATGGGATTTATATGTTTGTGTGTGTGTGTCTAAGAATATATGTGTGTACACAAATATTGATGAAAGACAAGAAGGCAAGAAGGTGTCAAGAATGATACCAGATTTTCAATATCAGTTTAAATGGGAGGTTTGGGTTAAAGATAACAATTTTGGAGTTTGGGTGAATGCACAATCTTTGAAACCAAGGTACTAAATAGAATTATGCAGGATGGGGAGGTACCATGACATAGTCTAAATTGGGTAAGTGGTTTAATCCAATAATTATAGGTTGGCTATCAGAGGAAGTAGGTGCTTTGGTGAGGTAGTGGGTTAAGCAAAGGGCTGCTAACCACAAGATTAATGGTTTGAACCCACCAGCTCTTCTGAGGGAGAAGGTGAGGCATTCTGTTCCTATAGAGATGCACAGTCTTGGAAACCCTGAAGAGCAGTTCCACTCTGGTCTATAAGGTCACTATGAGTTGGGCTGGATTGGAAGGTAGTGAATTTTTGGTCTCGAGAAGGAAGAGTATGAGATGATACTAAGCCAGCAGATCCACCAAGGAGGAAAATAATTCAGGAGAGCGGTGGTATCAAGAAACCCATATGAAGACTGCTTCAGGGAAAAAGAGGCCAGCTGTTTAAATCCTGCTGATGCTCTGAACACAAACTGAGTAAAATAAAGTTTACTTTAAACAATGTACTACTTTGGAGGAAACACTGTCTTTCAGAAACAAAGACAAATCATCTCCTCACGACCATTAAGTCCTGGAGAATTAATTAAGTCCTAATGAGATCGGGCCAATATGTAAATCTCCTTTTGCACATATATCACCCACCAAAGAACTTACTCAAATGTAGTATTTACAAACAACAAAGATGAGGCTGAAAAAATACAGTCAGTTTTTTTAGATGTCAGCTTCAGAGGAAACTCCCTATTTCAAACTAATTATTTACCTAACTGGCTCAGTGGTTAGCTGGCAAAAATAGGGAGGCCATATTTGCATATATTTATATGGAAATACACTGAGGTAGTGGATGGACTTCGGGCCTCTGCTCATACCCTCCTCCCTCAATGCAAGAATCCTTTGTTCTAGCAACCTGGCACTCCATGATGCTCACCCTTCCTGACCCGGTTGCTGAAGACAAAATGGGTGCATAAGTAAATGTGGTGAAGAAAGCTGGTGATGCCTGGCTATCAAAAGACCTAGCATCTGGGGTCTTAAAGGCTTGAAGTTACACAAGCGGTCATCTAACAGAGAAGCAACAAGTCTTCATGGAAGAAGCACACCTTCCTGTGCGATCATGAGGTGTTGACGGGATCAGGCAACAGGTATCAGAAGACCCAAAACAAACAAACAAACAAAAAACATATTGTTGAGAACGAGAGGGGTGGAAGCAGAGACCCAAAACCCATCTGTAGATAATGGGACATCCCCTCACAGAAGGGTCACAAGGAAGGGATGAGTCAACCAGGGCACAGAGTAGCACCAATGAAACACACAATATTCCTCTGGTTCCTTGAGGGTTCTTCACCCCCCACTGTCATGACCCCAGTTGTGCCTTTTACTATGGGCTAGACTGGAGCATGTGCATAGGCACAGATAATGGAATCCAGGAACAGGAATGGAAGTAGTGATACCAAGAGGGTAGGGGGAAGATGGAGAGAGAGGAGAAAAAAGGGGGAGCCAATCACAATGACTGACACATAGCCACCACCCCCTCCCTCCCAGGGGGACGTGAACAACAGAAACTGTGGGGGAAGGGAGGCAGTGGTGGGTATAAAATATGAAAATAATAATTTATCAAGGGGTCACTAGGGTGGGAGGGGAAGAGAGAGAAAAGAGAGGAGCTGATACCAAGGGGTCAATAGAAAGTAAATGTTTAGAAAATAATGATGGCAACATATGTACAAATATGCTTGACACAACTGATGTATGGATTGTTATAAGAGTTGTAAGAGCTCCACTCAAAAAGAATCCTTTAATAATAATAATAATACATACATACACACATGCATACAAATAGGGAGCCCAGTAAAAGCTACCAAACCTACTTGTGACTTAAAGGCAATACTCACTTGATCTGATTTGGGCCAACATGGATTATTCTACCAGAAGCATCAGGATGAAAATAGATCCAGTCAGATTCTAGAGAACAACACTCCATTTCCTGGATCCCATTTTTTGCCTGAGGTAGGGGAATGAAGACAAGGATTAAAGAAAATCAAATTAAAAAAAAGAAGGCAATGTAGAAAAAAGTGATAGAAGAATGCACACGATATTATCAAACACTCAACCTAGAGCAGCAGATTTTCAGGACAGATAAAAAGTTTGAATGGAGCCTTAAAAAATAAGCAGAAATAGCTAGGAACCATCCCCCCCACCAAACAACAACAACAACAACAACCAAACCAAAACAATAGTTGCCCTGGAGTTAAATCTAAATTGGTGAGCCACGGATGTCAGAGTAGAGCTGTGCTCCCTAGAGCTCTCACTGGCTGGTTGTTTTGGAAGTAGATCACCAGGCCTGCTTTTTAAGACATCTCTGTGTGGACTCAAACCTTTACCCTTTTGGTTATTAATCACCATTTGTACCGGCCAAGAACACCAGCTAGAAAAGAGACAGCAAAATCAATAGCACAGAAGTGCTCAGCCAGACAGCGTGTATGTGCATAAACAGGAGCAGTATTCAAAATTGAACTGGGAAGTATCATTTCTAGCCATGAAACTGGAGAGGTACATTGAGGCTATGTCATAAGGGCTTTCTATGGGATGACAACAATTACTTTTTAACTTACAATTTAACGTATTTTCTATTATCTAATCAATGAATAAATTTTAATTTTTATAAGCAGCCTAATTGTTTCTAATAGGACAGGTAGCGTTATTCCACTTTACATAAAAAAAATTCAAAGCAATTAAGCATCATTTATAATTACTGAAATTAATGTGCCCATTGTGACATTAACTCCAGATGTTCCTTTAACATAAAACGTACACACCATGCATATCTCCCTTTAAGAGAATATCCTCTTAATTATAATACGTGATGGAAACATTATCTTGCTTTATGTTAAATACTAGGTAGCATTTCACCAATTCCTGTGGTTTTCATTATTTGCTCACGTTAGAGATGGAGAATAAATAATTTATGACACAAATTGACTATTAAAGAAAGTTTTGATTCCTCGTGATTTACCAAGGAATTGTCTTTTAGGGCACAAATATGGAAAACTCCTTTCTGATTCTTCTTATTAGGTGTGATGATATAATGCCAAGGATGGCCACCGATCTGAAACGTATTCTCCAGCGAGCACACCTCAAAGAGCACCGGGGGAGTGTCTGTGGAAATGGGCAAAAGGAACACATTAGCTTCTCCAGTGTTGGCCTTGGGCCATTCATTAACAGAAAACAACCTTATAGAATTTCAGTAATGCCAAATATATTTCAAAGAAACAAAAAAGAGGCTTGTTTGCTAAAGAGAGAGAGTGAGAGAAAGCTAGTAGACAACAAATGCTTAGGCTATGAGTCAACTTTTTAGACATCTGTTTTTAGGATAAGCATGTGTGATCTGCAGCTGTGTGGAGAAAAAAGGAAGCTGAAGGTACTTAAGATGGCAAAAAATGACAAAGCAAACCTAATAAACAGTTGCCATTTACATAACATTTGCTAACTCTAAGACTCTGGGTTAGATACCATTCTCAACTCTCCTAACAACCTTACAAGAAGTTAAGATCTAATAATTCCTTTAAATGTGCGAAAAAGGTCTTGATATCCTACACCAGTGGTTCTGAACCTTCCTAATATGCAACTTTAATAAAAGGTCTTTGATATCCTACACCAGTGGTTCTGAACCTTCCTAATATACAACTTTAATAAAGTTCCTCATGTTGTGGTGACCCCCCCAACCATAAAATTATTTTCATTGCTACTTCATAACTGTAATTTTGCTGTTATGAATTGGGCGACCTCTGTGAAAGGGTCATTCGATTTCCAAAGGGGTTGCGACCCACAGGTTGAGAACCGCTGTCCTAGACTAACAGGTCTTATGAACAGCAAATTTTATAAGAGCAGTCTTTTGGGAATTCCTATTGTACACGAAATATGTCATAATGAATCAACCACTTAGGATAGGGCCTCCCACCAAAACAAAATACCATCAAGTCAATTCTGACTCATCTCAACCTTATAGCACAGGGTAGAAATGCCTCTGAGTTTCCAAGACTGTAACTCTCTACCGGAGTAGAAATCTCCATCTTTCTCGCTTGGTACAACTGGTGGTTTAGAATAGCTGACCTTTTGGTTAGCTGTTCAACTCCTAACCACTACACTACTAAACTCTTCATGGGCCTCCCACAACAGCCCCTAACAAGTTCACTTTAAGGTAGCTGAAATACATCCAGTTAATTATTACCTTTTAGGAACTAATACAGAAGAAATTCTGAACCCAACTTTTGGTAGAACATACACAAATCTATGCTTAGAGAAATGACAGGTGACAGGTATATAGCTTTAGGAAATCACGATTCCTTTTGGGAAACACATAGTTGGCTGAACAGGTGGCTAATCTATGGCTCCTTTGTTCAGCCTTCTCTAATTTAAATATTAAATCTTTGTGTCTATGAGCACATCACTGTGGTAAAGGGGCTTTTGCCTTTGAGAGACCATGCAAGTAAGAACAACTTGATATATATATGTATTCTATTAAGCCTCTCCATAAAGACAACTTTTCCTTGCTTTCATGCAAGGATACATAGGAGGGAAAAGAAGGGAAAAACTAACTAGCAAATTGACAGCCTTGAGAAGTTAGGAGAGAAGGTGAAAACATAAAATATACTGAAAGAGTATTTTTGTTTTGTTTTCCTATTCCTTTTATTTTTTTTCCAAAGCTAATACAGATATATTGTCCCAAAAGAGTTATTTTTTTAAAAAATCATTATATTGGGGGCTCGTACAACTCTTATCACA